CAGACTTAAGTTAAAGTGTTATTGGTTGCCTGTGCAGATGGTTTCCTTCACTATTTACTGGAACTGGACCACTTTTATGATTCTTGGGAGGAATGGTTCAAACCATCTGTCTTCACAGTCATGTCTCTTATCCTTCAGGTACGGGTGAAATACTGAGTCTCATCCTGGTTCTCCAGTGTTGAACCAGTGAAGCTCCTGTTAGGTGTCTCCTATACATTGGTCTGAGTACTCCTCGCTACACTGGACTGCATATGTGACAAAGCTCAGCTTGTGTTGGGCTGTCTAATCCTCAGGATCAACATGTTTCGTGGTGCTGTTCCTCTGGGAGAATGAATTTGGACAAACAAGATTGCCTCGCCCGCTCAAGCCTGCAGCCCCCCCAAGCTCAGGCCCAAAACTCTTTCCGCTCACTTGTCTCCAAATACGACATCCTCACAGCTAAGACCAGCAACACTGAGACAGAAACCTTGAGGATAGACAGCCGGACACAGGCTTAGCAATGTTATACATGCAATCCAATGTGGCAGCAAGTATGCAGACCTACATGCAGAGTAGACTAAAGAACAGCTCAACAAGCACATGGAGAAACACTGGAGAACCAGCCCCTCCTGACAAGACATCTGAATGATAAGAGACACTCCTTTGAGGACAGTAGGGGCGATATTCTGGATGTTTTCAAGAACCAAAGTCCAGTTTTCTTCTATTGAAGCACTTGTCTTGACCATGACCTGCATGGCGCTTTAGCTCCCACTTGGTGTCATCCCATCACTCTCCTCAACACTCTTGTGGACATGTGACATCTGAAAGGAACAATACAAGAAAGGTTTCACGTGGAGTCCAGCTGCACACTGACAGAAAACAAATCCTGAGTAAAGCCACATTCAGAGATTATATGCAAATAGAAGGGAATTCATTTGCTACATTCATCCAAAATGCCCAAAATGTCAAACCTATCAACATTACAATGTTCAGGTGGTGATACATGCTCGTATAGAACTTTATGAGCACACTGATTTTCTTACCAGTTGGCGTCTGAATGTCTAAGATCCCCTTCTCCTATTTTTCTCTCTCCTTCCTTTCTTTTGCCTCTTTTTCCCTAAAAGCCTTCTCTTTCTTTTGTCTTTCTTTCTCTATTTTTCTCTCCTCTTTCTCTCGTCTTTCCCTCTCTTGTTTCATTCTTTTCTCTCTTTGTTTCTCCTCCTTTTCTCATTGTTCTTTCTCCCTTTTCTCCCACTTCTCTCTTCTCTTTTGCACTTTCTCCCAAAGTTTTCTCTCTCTCTTGCTCCACTTCTCTTGTTCTGTCTCCAGATTCATTTGGTTTTCTCTCTCTTTGGTCTCCAACTCCTGTCTTTTACTCTGCTCGTTTTCTTGGCTCTCATCCCTTTCTACGAGCTGCCTCCTGATGGACGAGGCATTAGTGGCCTCCTCAGTTGTAGGGCTCTCACTCCTTTTTTTAAGAATCGAATTCACGGTTAGACATTCATCACCTGGTATGCATTATGTAAAGGGCTTTGAAAACTGGCATTTTAAAAGGCATTAAAGGACAAACGTATAGCTGACCTGAGTTTAGGAGCCTCCGAGGAACCAGAAGGTTCAGAATTGCTGGATGGAGAGCTCTCACTTCTCCATCCGAGATGCCAAGTGGGAGTCGAGGTCTTGGGATTTGTCTTGGATGAAGAGCTCTCACTTCTCCATCCAAGGTGCCACGTGGGAGTTGAGATCCTGGGTTTTCTCTCGAACGCAGGGCTCTCACCCCTGCATCCGAGCTGCCTCTGGGTGAACGAGGCATTAGTGGCCTCTTCAGGACTGTCACACCTTTTTTTAGGAATAGAATTCCCAGTTAGACATTCATCACCTGGTATTCATTAGATACAAGTGCATTTAAATACCGGCATTTTTAAAGACATTAAAGGACAAACATAGGGCTTGTACCTGGTTGTAGGAGCCTCCCAGGAACCAGAGGATTCATAGTTGCTGGACGAAGGGGCCACACCCCTGCGTCCGAGCAGCCTCCAGATGGACGAGGTCTTGGGCTTTTTCTTGGATGAAGAACTCTCACTTCTCCATCCGAGGTTCCCCGTGGTAGTCGTGGTCTTGGGTTTTGTCTTGGACGAAGAGCTCTCACCTCTCCATCCAAGGTGCCAAGTGGGAGTCGAGGTCCTGGGTTTTCTCTCGAACGAAGGGCTCTCACCCCTGCGTCCGAACTGCCTCCAGGTGGACGAGGCATTAGTGGCCTCCTCAGGACTGTCACTCCTTTTTTTAGGAATAGAATTCACAGTTAGACATTCATTACCTGATATTCATTAGATACAAGCGCATTTAAAAACCAAAGGCATTAAAGGACAAACATAGGGCTTATACCTGGTTGTAGGAGCCTCCCAGGAACCAGAGGGTTCATACTTGCTGGACGAAGGGTCGTCATCCCTTCGTCCAAGCTGCCTCCTAATGAAAAAGGCAGTCGTGTTCTTCTCAGTAGAAGGACTCTCGCTCCTTTTTTAGGAACAGAATTCACGGTTAGACATTCACCACTTGGTATGCCCTATGTAGAGGGCATTTAAAAACTGGCATTTCAGGGCATTAAAGGACAAACATATGATTTACATGATTGTAGGAGCCTTCCAGGAACCAGAGGGTTCATCGTTGCTGGACGAAGGGCAGTCATCCGTTTGTCCCAGCTGAGTCCAGATGTTTGAGGTCTCGGCGTCTTTCCTGGACGAAGTTCTCTCAGCCCTCCGTCCACTACGCCAGATGTTGAACTCAGACTCACTCCTTTGTCCGTGCAACTCCCAGATCGCAGCAAGGATGGTGTTGCGACTCATCAAAGGTCTCTCATACTTTTGATTGCACTCCTTCCAGTGTATGGGAAGGTGCCCATCTCCAGGAGATAAAGGTCTCTCACACCTTCGCTGACACTCTCCTGGAGACTTGGGCCTCACAAAGAAACACTTGATGTAGTTCATCATGATGTCGAACTGCACACACAAACACACACAGCAATTATTTGAGGCTCATTATGTGATAAAGCAGCAGAAAAGAACACATTTTTATTTTGTGACTGATCCTTTACCTATAATTTCACTGAAATGAACGGAGCAGAATTCCTCCTTTGATTTGCCTAAAAACTTTTATAGTGTAACATGGATATTTATACACATACTTGTGAGTTTTTACATCAACTTATCAAATGTTTTCTCAGATAGAAACATTTTTTAAAATTGCCTCGTGACCAACTTTCAGCTCAGGATATGTTCAGAGTAAAAATGTACATTTTTCCACTCTTACGTCTCACTGTGACATTGTTTAACCCTAGAACACTAACGTTGGGTGATTTTCACCCGCATGATTTTTGTCATGTGATTTTCATTGTGTTGCTGCTGTCTGAGCTGCATGGGTCCTTGGGTAGCTTCAGGCTGCTCACTGATGTCATTAATGGTATGTTTGTTTCCTACCTCCCATCTATGTTTTTTTCAAGAGGCATGCGTTCAGGTGATTTTCACCTGGCGTTAGTGACAGAGGGTAACATTTTTATGGGTGGCATTTACCCAATGATAGTGTCTATGTGTTGAAATAAGGCGCTCTTTGCACTTTTCAAGGGAAACAACATTCAGGCCACATCCTCTGCCCCATTTCATCCACAGCTGTCATCCTGTCACTGCCGTAGTTACTCTGGCATGCTAACAAGTGTACCTAATGTTAATCTACATCTGCAATCATTAGCTACGCAGATTTTTTTTTTTTCTACTAAAGCTAAGCTTTTAGCTATAGCTAGCTACAAGTGAAGTTGTAGCACTCAGAGAGAGGAAAAAAAATAAATGTCCAGAAAATCAGTGAAATTCCTGACTGAGCACACTAACGTTAAAATTAGTAACACCATCACTAACGCCGGGTATATTTTACCTGATATAATATTCCCGACAAAATATAGTTTTCATCAATTTATGTAAAAGTACAACACTGTATGACAAATTGTAGGACTGGGACATGTGAGCCTTGTCTGGTGAAGGCTCAGTTTGGTTCTGGTATGGAGTCTTTCCAAGGAAATTCATGTAGTCAAAAAAAATTGGTAGTTTTTCACCTCTCAAAAATTGCCATTTTTCACCAATCTCTGCCACAGCTGTCAGTGATGCAGGAAGACTGTGCCTTCACCAGACAAGGCTCACATGTCCCAGGAATGGGTGGACCAAAGAACAAGTTCCCAGCTCCATTATTTTTTTTTGTTTGGAAATTTCTCGTTCAGGATTACCAGATTTTTCAATAATTTTGCTGCCTTTTTATAGGGTCCCCCATGGTACTTTTTTTTTTATTTTATGTGATATTGTATATTAGGAAATTAAAGAAGTTTTTTAACAAACAGCTCAAATAATCTGATTGTAGGTGATATAAATAAATTGAAGTTGTCATTAAAATTCCCTTCTTTCAGCACACATTCAGAGAAATAGTGATCATGTAGAAGTCAACCAGTGACATTTACTGAATCATACATAACTGCATGTCACAATAATAGGAGACAGAATATTTAGGTACTTTACAATATGAAACACTGGATCACATAACTGAAAAATACTGTTTTTAGAACTGAAGAACTTTCATGATTGACTGAGTATGGAGGAGAAGTTGTACCAGAAAAACACAACATATCAGTAGATAGTATAATCAGGCTAATCAGGGCATGCAACTTCATTTTTTTCTTACACAACATAATTCTCATTATGCAGCAAGTGAAGCAAAGTTGACAAACAATTACAATTATGTTGTGCAAGAAAAAAACAAACAAAAAAAAAACAAATCTACATGCCCTGATTACCCTGATGATACTATCTGTGGATATTTTTGCACCTTACCTACTTTGAAATTAACCAAAGATAAAGCAACTTACTTGTTGAAATGATGTTGTTAAATTAAATTATTTCCTTTTTTTCAGTACAACACAGTTCAACCAAAGAGAAAACTTCAAATAAAAAGTAATTTTTGCTGAGCTGTAAAATGGACTTACCTCACCTCATCTTCCTGAACACGTGATGTCACGGAGAGAACAAAAAATACAAGTGTGTGTGTGTGTCTCTGTGTGTGTAG